TAGTAATAGTAATAGTAATCAAAGTTTAATGTCTTTACGTGGGGCATGGTTACCCATATTGCCCGAGCCAGAGGCTCATGTATGAAACGCAAGACAACAACCCACCCATCCCACCCCAGGGGAGGACATCCATCACACAGTAATCTCGTGCGTGGGAAATTAACGTCTCCTACCCCTAACCCTGCAGGAGACGGGACCTCCATTTATTCGTCCCTATCCGAGAAGACTAGAATATCTAACCATTTCTTGATGTTATAGAAAGGTAGCATATTCTTCTCAATTATTTTAAGACCTCGAGTGTTGGTCCGGCCGGGGCTCGAACCCTCGACCTCCCGCACAACAGTCCAGCGCTCTATCCACTGAGCTAACCGGGAGGCGATGTAGTTCCCAAAACAAAATCGTTGAAAAACAGTTTTGCTTTAAAAACGAGATTTTGATCTGTAACCCCGCTGCTTTCTTTCAATATAATCGAAAATTCTCAATTTCGTGTTCACTTAAGAACCAATTGCCAAAGGTCTTTGAAGTTTTGTCTCTGTAGTCCTGCGTTACACCGAATTACAGCACCAAAGATCTTTCTTCTTTTTAAATAATTAACATTTAAACTACATTGTATTTAAAACCAAATGCCTGGTCATAAGAGCAACCATGAAATTATTACACCGACTGTATTAAAATTCATAAATTTTGCTCATAAGTTAAGCCATATTTAAAGTTCGAATTGAGAAAATAGTGTCACATAAACCAGAAAAAATGACAGCAATTAAAACATCTGAATTTAGAAATACCGAGTTCTAAAAAGAGAAGGCAATAGAATAAATCGTTAGATTGTGCTTTCAGTTTTGAATTAATCAATTCCACACAGCCAAATACTCAATATGCATTCAGTTCCTGATAGAAAGAAACAATGGCGGCGAAATAGATTGCCTTTGGGACTACAATTTTTTTAGAGATTGGCTAAGGGTTACACGGAAGTCTTTCCGACAAGAATTTGAAGAAAAATATTTTATTCTTGTGCGAATACTGTCTTCGGTTGTATATTTATATATCTTTTCCCTTGTATCAATTGTCCAAACGAAGTGTTAAAGTGTACGCCAAATATTTCTGTAATTTATTGAAATGTTTTGCGATTTTGTTGAAAGAATTAATGAGAAAAGACCGCCAATTACGTTCCTTAAGCACGACCAATATTTCAGAAAGACCAATTTTTTTCATTTCCAAATTAGCTCGAGAGTTTGAATTGCTCTCCTTCAATTTCAATAACATTTTCAGCAATGCGAGACAAAATTCTGCATCCTCTTTTCTCAGCTAAATTTCATTTCAACGAGAAATGAAAATCGAAGTTTGTTCACACCGACTGAACAACGATGAACGTTTGGCGACGGTCCTATTCATTCTTCTAGTCGCAGACAAACCTGTTTGAATTTCTCGCCGTCCTATATTCCACGCCGAAAACAGGAACTCATTTATCACTGATTTATGTTGACAATGCATTTTATCTTCGACAAGTTTTTTGACGTACTCATGACCAGGCATTATGGTTTAAATATGTAGCTTCTAAAAAGACAAGAGAACATTGCCACATACAAAGACCTAATCACATTGTGGAATTACTGGATATCTTGTTGTAACCTTGTAACCAATGTTCTCTTGCAAACTAGATTCGGCATCAGCTGATAATTCAAAAAGGTAGATATAAGTTTTAATGTGGCACTGTAAAAGGTTTTTGTTTCAATTTCGCTAAAGAACTACTTCTCTGTTGAACAAATTTAACTTCTGAGTTTAGATCTTGTGGAGATTGACACGTGGATCAAATCAAGTTGGTTTTTATTGGAAAATATGAGACAAACAGTCCATAGTCACGTGTAACTGTCGTAGTAAGTGTTGCCTTGCCAGAAAAGGGCTGTTTTGGTTAACCCAGTCTCAGTTTGATTAGAAGTCATTAAAGTCGAGTTATAAATATGTTTCGTGAAATCCATAGATCAGTTATTGCTTGATGTTTTTTCTTTCAGTTTGGATTCGTCTTTCAAATCATTCAAACGTTCTCTTCCGTTCAGCGTTTAGTTCAATTTCAAATAGAAGTTGTATGTCAGATACTTGTTTTTGACATCTGTTGAGAGAAGTCCGTCTTCCGTTTGTAACCAATCTTTGCCAAGTCAGTCGTTGTCGCGAGGTAATCATTGAGCGCTGAATGTCACAGTCACAAATGTAGTTTTAAGTCAATTGTGTTCAGTCATTTGATAAATAAGGTAAAAAAAAAAAAAAGAAAGGTCAAATATGATTTATTCCATCCGACCCAAAATTTTAATTTTAGACTCGTATGCTTTTTGTCAAAGGTCTTTCATTAGAGTGCCACTTAACAAATATCACCTTTTTGTGACATCAATTGAGATATTTCCATGATACGAACTGTCAAGCAAACGATAAAACAGCGATTACTGATACGAAATGAAAAAAATTCTTGGCAAGAGTACCACCCAACCCGATCCATAAATTATGCATTCAGAGTAGTAGACTTTGTTTTTAGAGTTTTGTCTTGAAACACAAAGAAATGGAATGCTTAATTAATATACGGGGTTATATGGTACTCTTTCCAAATTCTTTTTTTGTGTTCAAGTTTTAGTAAAATGTGGTTGCTCCCTGTGATAAGATTATGCTCCGCAGACAGGTTCTGCGATGAATTTTTTCCAACTTAGAAGTATTAATGATGTCAAATGAACTTATTGTCGGTCGAGGTCTGCGCGACAGTCCGTATCACTGGAAACTTATTAAAAAATGGTGGCTAAATGTAAAATAATCACTTACCAAGTTATTCCACCTCTTCCACTTCCAAGTACTAGTACATCGGACGATTGGTTCGAATAAAGTCTTCTTACATACACAAGATATATTTAGATAGCCACCACTTTTGCTACAGTTACTCAACAATTTTGAAGATCTTATCTTTGCAGCATCCTTCTAAAAAATTGTGGATCCATTTTCTTCTCTTGACCTGATTCTTGATCCTGGAGTTCCATCCCTCTGACAACATTTTTTTTCCTAAAAATAGAAAGTTAGAGATGCAATTAGGAACAGCTTGAAATTACTTACGAGAAATTGTACTAAACAAAGCTTTGAAGGAAGGAGTTTGTATCACTGCACTTACTGTAAAAATTCTACAGGGAAGAAATTTGGCACAGAAGTTTTCAATTTTTAGGTGGCGGTATTTAGCTACAAAGTTTTATCAAAATTGTTTTATTCAAGCGTTTATCCACAAAGATAGCAGTTTATTTGTTCTACAGCTTCAGCTACAGCTACAGCAATAACGTCTCGCTACTTTTAAAGCTGACGAACCGCTCGAATCAAGCAACTGACACGTGTTGACGCGTTAGCTAAGACTAGCTCAGCTTCCTTACAAAAAAAATTGGACAAAATTTTGTAAGAAATGCTTACCTTCTGTCGTAGTAACACGAACTTCTTTCCTTGCTCATCTCTAGGAGTCAGGTGTTGCATTTCATCCATGTTGTAACTTTATATTTGCTACGGACGGACGACACATCTTCACTCTTCGATAGACAACTTTATTTGCTGAAGATTCTACAGTTCCTGATGAATATGGATTAGCAGCTTCAGCCAATAATCTGCCGATACGTCATAGATTTGGCGCGAAGTTTAGTTTGCACGATCGGTCGGCTAATTAAGAATCAAGAAGAAATGAAAGTGTGATGAATCGAATGCGCTCGTGAAAAGTGCCACAAAGCTAGACTAATTGCATTGTAGAAACTAATTTTTAGCCAAGATAACACTCTGAATCTGAAAAATGTTCAAATAACTTACCATTGTGCTTCCCAAACGTTTGGAAGTTGTTTAGAAAGATTTACATAAAACGAAATATCGCAGATTTAGAAAAAGGAAAAAGGTTGAAAAAGAAAAATAAGAAAGAAAAAGAAAACACGATTCCAACTGTTTATCTGCTAAAAATGACATTCAATTTGCTATTTCGTTAAGAAGGGCGCGTAGATAAAAAATTAAAGATTTAAAAAAAATGATCGTTACCCTTCCTTTGTGAGGCATAACATAGAAAGCATATACAATTCAGTTTTGTGCAAAACGACTTGAATTTACTTTTCGAAGTAGTATAGTGCTGGAAAACCAGCAGAAACTCGTCTTTCCTGCTCGATGTGGGAAAACTGGGCAACTCCACGGGTGAGACAAACATGAATAAAATACCGTAATTCTTCTTTTATTAAGCCCCACTCTTATAAGCCACCCCCCCCATCTTAAAAAAAAGGAATTTATTAGGCCCTTCACCCCTCCCCCTTCAAAACAAAAAACAAAAATCTCAAATAACACTCCCAAGTCAGTAAGTACGATAAATTTATTCGAGTACTGTAATTTAATCATACAACTCATCAGACTTCTCTGAAGATTTCGACTCTCCAATTTGGTAAAGTGAAAAAATGTGAGATGAGAATAATTTTTGCATAAGTACATCACATCCTATTTTATCCTGGTACTGAACATTGGGATAAATCAGTAAGAGCCCCTCCCCCCCTTTAATAAGTCCACTTCCTCTAATAAGCCCCCCCCCGAAAGTAACTGAAATAAATAAGCCCCCGGGGGGGCTTATGAGACGATTTATGGTAGTTGATTTTTGTGACAAATCTTATTTCTTGCCTTTCACTCAGTGCATAAATCATTCACACAGCTCCTGAGTTTTAGTCTTTGCCTCGCGGGTGTAAATTTTCTGGTAGGAGGATTAACCGTCCGAAGAAATATCTACTCATTGAAATCATTCTAAAAATTAATGTGGTTAGTGTGGGATAAAACTCAAGATGATGGCTAGAATTTGGTTTGAAATTTGCTACAATAGTTTTGTTTAGGACTTTTGGGTCGGTATTTACTCTCTGTCTCACCGAAACTACGGTTTTGTGTGATAGTAATCCCTGGGGTTTCCTTATGAGTGCATGGATTTAACTGAATAAAAGTTCTTTCCACTGTCAGCTTTCGGCCCTCTCAACACTGAATTGAAGATGGTTGAGAGCGCAGTTTTGTTGACCAACAGCTAAACTTTGTTTAAATAAAAAGACCTTTGCATTTGTACGGCTTGGATAAACGGATTAGAAGTAAACTTGATTTTGACGGCAGTAAGTAGCCAGCGGTAAGTAGCCAGCGCTGCCTTTATTTTGGTAAATGCCTCAGTTTAATGTAAAATAAAACTCTTTCATTTTTTCCAAGGCTCTAATAAAAAGAAAATCAAAAAGCTTTTAGGTAGGGGGCAGCGTCCTAAGCCTTTGCAGATCCTTCCAGTTTCAATAAGTTAACTCACATCTTACCACAGCTATCAGCCCCCTATCTCCCTCTTCGTAAAAGAATCTGCATAACACCACCAAGACATGTAGAATTAGGTACTTCGAAAACATTTTATTATTCGATGCAGAACTTGTAACCTTCACTAATTTCTCTGTCCTTAGATAAGATAACAAGTTAAGAATTTATCTCCGCGATTGAAAGCAATTAGTCATATTTTAAAACGTGATATGGAAAATAAAAATGCTTGTAATGAATAACAATCGTTTGTTCCTTAAGATAGGGGTATTCCTGATGTGGATCGCGACCACTTTACCGCATACTGCAGGTCTTCTTCAAGCGATAAAGACCCTATCTTTTTTATAGTAATTCAATGTAATTTTCAATGATCAAAAACTAATCAATCTACGCAATGCTATCAAATCTTTACCGCCAATCTTCTGTATTTAAAGAATTCGTTACTTATTTTTGGCCTTAAAACCAAACATTAAAAATTCAAGTCTTGGCCTCCCTCCAAGTTTTTCTCTCCAGAATACACATTCTTTGTACCATTTCTAGACCAGCAAGCCCCTCTACCTCACCGAGAACAAAATGTGAACTCTCCTTCGGCTCGTAGCATTCTGGTTAAGTTATAAGATGCGAGAAAACCAGCATATCCGGGCTGCCTTTTTCCAGACCTTCTGTTTTTGAATATCTTATGGAAGGTAAAAAAATAAATAAATAAAGAGTAAATTCTGTCATCGTCTTTATTCAAGAATAACCGGCGTTAATAAAAAATAACGATTGTAGTCAGACGCGTAGGTTTACCAGGGAAAGGAAAAATCGGACCACTTATGCCAAGAGCCTTTTGCCATGACCGCAACCGCCAAGAGCCGAATTAATGACCCATTGATTACTATTTCGGATGCCCTTCCGTTTGGAAAATCAGAGCACATCCGACAGGATACGAACCTTTTACTTTCATATTACTCGCTACAATGCTCTACCATGCATTGAGAAAACCCGAGCTCACTTGAAATGAGACGAGCTTTCGATCTTGCGATTATTTTTTTAATTGCGATCTACCTGTAAAGATCCGAACGCTCCCGACAGGGCCAAATTTTAAACTTTCCAAGTACCATTTTAGATGCTCTACAAATAGCACATGCAAACCAGAAAAAAAGAAAAATCCGAGTACTTCCGCCATGAGCGGGATAGGAGGGGCCAAAGAATGGCCTATCAAACAAGACCGTTCATCATACTTAACACTACGTTTGTGATACGCAAATTTAGCTCACCTCCAAGATGGATTGATCTCTCCGAATCGAGAAACACCAGTTTGAGCCGCAGCAACAGAAATGTGAACATGACAAGGTTCTGCAGACAAACAAAGTAGGTGCCTGTCAACTCTGACATCCCGAACATAATTATCATTCATTCATAACACTCTGTGTTAAACAGTCAAATAACTCTCACCATACCTGGGTGGTTCTCTAATAGCGTGTGTAGCTTTTGCAGAGCCGCTCCCCCTGAGTAGTTAAAATGTGAAACATAAAGCGCTATGACAGTCATTAGACAGCTACCTAGGAGACCCCCCACAGTCACCAGTTTGACCACAGCAGAGACTAAACTATGCCATTTGGATTCACTCTTGAATCTAAGGAAAGAAACAAAGTAAAATTTCATGTCAGACGGTAACATATGTCGCTATAGTAGCTGTATGCAAAGTCATTTTGCCATGATAAAAGTCAGCTTTCAGTGTTAAAAATTCAGAAGTTTTAAGAGGATGACAGACTTCTTGAAAGATGATGTTGTGCAGTAAGTGACAGAGGCAAACTCGGAGACAAAGAACTCTGAATGCCTTCAAAAGGAGTCAAACCTACGACCTTCCGAATAATAAGTTGGATGCTCTACCACTGAGATATAGAAGACTCGTGGCAAGCTAGGCTGTTTTTCTCCAAGTATGACTGTGTCATTCACGATGGAATAATTTCATCTTTTTACTTTCATCCCCAAGTAAACAGACTGCAAAACACGCAGTTGCACTCCGATTGTATTGCCCCCTCAGAATCCCATAATAAACTTTGACTTTTTAATCAAGATGGCCGCCGACTATAAGTAAAAAGGTCTACTGAAATACAGTTATGGATTACTGATAGAAGGTGAGGAATCTCGATTGTCACACTCTTCAGTACTCTATCAATTGGAACCCAGACTCCCTTCCCCTTCTTCCTCCAACTATATTTAACAATTATTCGCCGAAGGCGAGGTAACTATCGTCGAATAATCCCCGAGACGAAGTCGAGGGGATTATTCGACAATATTCATCAAACCTGTTTTAGTGTAATTTCAGAGCTGAACAACAGAGAAATTTCTAAATTATAACATTTTATTTTAACATTTTATATAAACCGCGTGGAGCGGTTCATATAGCGTCATATAAGGAACCGCTCGACCAATCAGATTGCTGGAAACTCTTTGCTCAGCTCTGAAATTATACTAATGACATTGGAAAGGGATTGCAAAGTTGAAAATACTTACATATAGCTCAGACCATGAGCAGCCACTGCATTCATCACAGGGATGACATAAATAATGAATCGTAATTCTTTATGAGGAAGAAATGAATACATTAACACAAAGCCTAAGCATGGTGCAGCTAGTTCCCAGGTTCTCCTATCCCGCCAGAGTCCCAGAGGGACTAAAAATAGAGCAAACATCAAACATCTAGGAAGAACAGAGTAAAAGTACCAAAGAAATGGTGAGGTCTGGTGTATAGTGAAGGAAAGCTGACTTAGTACAAAATGAAGAATTGAGGGCTTTTCTTAACGGTAGAGGCCAGAAATCACATGTTTCATATTTCAGATTTCTTATTCTGTGATTAATCATAATCATGATTGGCATCTGTGACATTTAGGAGAATTTCAATCCAGATAGCTATCTATTATTCAACTACATGTACTATTTTTTTCCCATTTGTATAACTTGCAAAAGTAGATAAATTTGAAAATATTATTGCAAATGTCTATAATTGAATAGTCTAATGCTTGAACTGAAAATCTTTCAATTCTACTCACATAGAAAAATGTTTAAGTAGTTTCCAATGAGTAAAAACTTCAGTCTTACGTCTAGCAGCTTTCTCTCATCATACAGCATCATCCAACTAGCAAAAGCTTAGAGGCTTTTAATTAGGAGTTTAGTAGTAGTTTACAGACTCACTCACTACTTGCAAAACACTAATTAAGGACAACATGAAACAATATCACAGAAATCTGTATAAGAATGAATTTTAAATAAAAGGATACACCCCAGTTAGAACTTTTGTTGAGGACAGTATTGTACCACAGGACTTCACCCTCAGGCCACAGGAACCTTCTCCAAAATATGGAGTCCACAGAAACAGTCAAAGCTGATGATAAAGAAAATGAAAAAAAAAATGCAGTATAAAAAAAAAGGGATGTTATGATGACAAGTCTATCTATTATTGCAGTGGTCTGAACACATTGCAATGAAAAAGCTAAAAAAGCTAAAAATTGATAAATAATCAATTAAAAAAATTTCAAAATGCCCAGAGCTGATCAACTCTAATCCTCCATGCTAACTAGCATTTTCTTATACTTAGTTCTAAGAATTTGGTTCTACATCAAGGTAAATACTAACATTCTCCAGAGCATGTTAGGGAGAAGTTGGAATTATAGAGTTCTCCAAAATTTTCTTTTCTAAATCTCTGGTTTTGAGAAAGGTCTTTTTGGATCCAAAATGAGAGTGCTAAATTGTCATTCAGAATTTTTGTACTTAGATGAGTAAAATTTAAGTTGCCAAACTCAGGTTGCAGCTTATCTGCAGGTGCTGCTTATATGCCAGTTTTAATGATAAAGTAATTTTACCTGACATGTACTGCCCTAGAGAGTGAGTGAGTCAACTTTATTTAAAGAGGGTGTACACATAACAGCTTGAGCTGACAAACCAGTGGCCCTCAAAACTGAGGATTAGTAAGTAATACATGCAAGTCTAGAATTACAATTGGAACTAGCCTAACAAAGTAACTATTAAAAACAAATAAAATTATATTAAATAGAATATATAGAATAAAACATATATTACAATATAGCCTCAAAAGAATCAATGTCTCTATAAGAATCAATAAAATAATTTCTCAAATCATTTCTGAAAGAGGAAGTGCTGTATTCAGTTTCTTAAGCTCATTAGGCAAACTCTTCTATAACTTGATGCTACTAACTTGAAAAGACCTTCCAGCTTCAGTAATATTACAAAACTTAGGACAGATTCAATTATATTTGCCATGTCAGGTCTGTCTACCGTGTAGTGAGTAATTTGTAGTTAAAGAACTCTCAATATACATAGGGGATTCCCCATGCAGCGCCTTATAAGTAGTACGCACTTTCTTATCTTAACTTCATCGTAGAACGGGATCCAAATTCCTAACTGCCACTAGGTTCTCATGCTATTAATAAGATTTCCAGTCCCCTATTTGATTTTTCCTACTAAAAAACCTAAAGAACTATTGATTCAGTGATTTAGTAAATCTACAAGCTACAAATTATGCAGATTACTCAAATTCATCTTCTACATGAACATTCTTTTGATCCTCTTACCTAAAGCACTGACACCAGCTAATGCTGCATGGATAAATGCAGTGCCTAGAGACACACGTTTTGTAATAAGCTCTAACATTAAGATCAGGCCAAGCAAAATACACAACTCTGCTCGGAAGATAATAATCGCAAAGGCTGAAATCCAAATGAATTTGGCGTGGTGCTGATCCAGCCAGTAATGAAATGCTAAGAGAACTGATGAGACAAAATTAAGAAAATGATTACAAACTTCTTCCTAACCAAGTGCGAGAGCCATATTGGGGAATATTGGCTCAAGGTTGTGGCAGTATGGACTGAGAGCAGCAAGGCCTATACAAAAACATGTGAGGCCACAATGTTCCCCAGTATGGCCCTAATGCTCTCGGTTACTAAGTGACCGGTTTATAGTTGTATGACACTCAGACTGAACTTGTTTACTTTAAATTTGCCAGCTTTCACAAATAAAAGTACACAGTTATGACTGTTTCCCAAGGAAATGGTCTGTATGGCAAAATTCCAACTATTAACTTGTGATAACTGATCGGAATACTTGGATTTACCTCAAGACCACCTTGCCTCAATTAATAAGACAAATTATTACACGACTCGGGCAGTCAGATGGCCAATAACTAAAATCAACCAATCAAAATGCTCTATTGCCGGTCAATATTCTCTAAGTATTGGACCGGGCACTGTCCTGAATGGTCCCGAATGATACCGCACTTGTGTCCCTTTGAACTTCAGTCGTATAATAAATCTCTTATTAACCAAGCTTGCTCGGGACCGTACTATTGGCCCTCGGTCATTTTTGTACGGACCTCGCTGCGCTTGGTCCGTACTGTCAAGAACTCCGGCTGATATTCTCCCAGTACGGCCCTCATGCTTGGTTAATAAGATATATGTATAGCATCTTGCTGAAAAGATTGAGAGGTGAACCCTTAACTAACAGTTCTAAATACTGTTCTCCATTCATTTTCTGTGTTAATAACAACAAGAATTTGTCTAACAATCAAGAGCATCTCAAGTTTATGATCATTTCCTTTATTCTCATGACTGTAACGTTTGATTCAACTGAAGGGGGATCATTTTGGAGGAAATTGGATGATAACACCCTAAGGGTCCCTTGATATCACCTGTTACTAAAACCTCACAGTTTTTCTCAAGTACTGTTTTCTTATCAGCACAGAAATTAGGTCTGTCAACAAATATTCCTCCTTTTTTTTTTGTCCTGAATGGAAGGTAGTTAAAACATTGTTTCACTGTAGAAAGATTTCTAATGTACATGGATTTTGCCCTCTGAAAACAGCCGTTAACTACATGTATATGTATATACCAACCTAAAACAAGTGCAAAAGTATTTGGTATTGGTCTTGAAATGTAGAACAAGAAATGGAACTGTGTTGCAGTGATAACTGCCATGATCTTCCCAATGTCCTGTCCAAACTTGTTTGCAATAGATTTTCGGAACTTTGAAAAGGCAAGAAGACCAAGCAAACCAAGAGAAAATCGCACTGATATTGGAAAAGAAAAAATTGTGTACATAAGCAGTACAAATTTTTAAGAGAACAAAGTTGAAAATAAAGGATGATTTTAAAGCAAAATTGGAGTAAATAAATGCTGACACAATATTTTTGAGATCCTTAACGAAGTACAGGATTTTAAGAGAAATCAAAGCAAAAATCATGAAAAAATGAGAATATAAGAAATCAGAAGTAAAATAATGGTTAAAGATTAGAGTTAAAGTGCCACTATGATCAAAATTTCGCTTTGCCTTTTCTTTTCACTTGTGGAAACTAGAAGTAAGAAACACTTACCATGCCAAGTTTAATCGCAAAATTCTCACGGGAAGTATGATTATTTCAACCTTGTTTTTCGTTTTTGGTCACCTACCATTACTCAATTCAAAAATGGCCGAGTGTGGCAAAAAGAGTTGGCACTAGTTGGAGCCTTTCGGAAGTGACGTCATATGCGCAACTCGACCTAAAAAACGCAGCTAAATTTGTATGCCATTTGGAAGAAGAATTCAAGGAAGAGTACATCTTATAAAACGCCTAGAATTTCCACTGTGGAATCTCTCACAACACGCGAAGTACAATGTGAAAGTGCGCATATGATGTCACAGGCCAACTCATGCGTAAAACCGCTTTTCAGTTCAGTCGCTGGCTCTCGGTTGCGAGCTGAGTAACGGCAGACGGGTTTTTCGTGAATTTCGGCCTGCTATATCAAGGCGTATTTCACTTCCATCGACCTAAAAACTATCGCATAGTACAATTCTAACCATATTAATTTAATTGGTGCTAAAAAATGTCAAAACCAGAGACAAAAATTTTTGTCGTAGTGGCACTTTAAATAGGTATTGAACTTGATCAAAACTAATTCATACAAAACAGGTTGAGGGGTTTGCAAATGTGTGATAACCTGTCTCGAAGGTTACATCTGAAATAAAAATGCAAAATATTCACACAGATCAGAGAAATGTTTCATAAAATGTAAGTTACCTACATACTGTGACCAAAATTTAGATGCTCCAGCCATTTTAAGGATCAAGACAGCTGGATTTGCAAGAAAGGAGACAGAAATTGGTCCAAGAAATGTCCTGGGCACCACACCAGGGAACTCTAAATGATCATACTACAATAAAGATGAGGGATTGAAGATCATAATTGACTGATATGTCAGTGAATTAAAGGGGGCACTGAACAAATCTTGTTCTGATACTGGATGAAAGAAGAAAAAAAATTTCTTCAGTCACCACCATACAGTGTTTCAGAGAAAAAAATGGGATAAGGGATTCAATTTCAGTAGTGGATCAAAGGGAGAGGCCT